ATTTGATCATTGCTGTTTCATTCCAGTAGGGCTATATTGTCTGCGTATGCCAGATATTGCAATGGTTGGCTATAAAAAGTTCCTGATGGTAGTTGTTTGGTAATAATTCTCTGAAAGTAGTTTGTAATGGTTCTGCTGGTGCTCACATGTAAGTTTCTAATGACTTTTTCTGATGAGATGTCGAACAGGATACATGATAGAGAATGTCATTGCCTGAGGCCTAGATTAATTGGGAACTCCCCCGAGTACTCTCCCTGTACTTTAGGAGTTGGCCATCATCATGTGTAACTTTGTTAGGGATTCCTGTAGATCATCATATAGGTATTTCCTGTCTACTCTATCCTAAGTTACTTGCATCTTTTATTAAATGATTTTTCTCCGCAGTCAAATTAATGAAGATATGTTTCCATCAGTGTGTGGGACCTGTGTAACAAGTGAAAATTACAACAATGACGCCTTAAAATGTTGTGCTAAGTATTTTTAAGTCTTATATCCAACAAAAGGCAGTGAAACATTTTTGCAACATGCTAAGTTTCTGTCCAGCTAAAAATAATGTTTATAATTCTTTTTAAAATGTTTTTTTTTTTAGGTTTGTCAAAAGTGTTTACTATTCTTGGTTTTGACAAAATGATTTTAATCACTTTTTAATTGGATTTTTTGGTAACTTCAATACTTGCTTAGCAGGCTGTATTCAACCCTACACTAAGCCTAAGTAGTGCTTTTTTTAGTTTAGCAGACGAGTTGTGATAACTTCCAGGGGGGGTCGTTTCCAAAAAAATTTAATTGTAAGTTAGTTAACTACTTTCTGCATCTCTAGATTAGGTACTTCACTATAAATTTCAAAATTGTTATATATTAAAGAAACTGATATCATTGGAAAGGACTATTTCCTTTTCAGCTATACAAATTTTATTTTTCTATCTTAATTAGAAAAAAAGTTATTGCATTTTTAGTGTCAGAATTTTTGGCAATCCTCGAAGTCCGGTCCCAAATTATTTCATATGAAAAAAAATTGCAATACATAGTGTGTATTGTTAGAAAACAGCAGAATTGTCAGTCATAGCTTTTGCAAATAACTTTCATGTTACAAACCAGTCAGTAAAAACTAAAGGTTGTCATTGGCGCATAGCATTTGCAAATAGCAGCCGAAAACGTTCTGCTTGTGACTGTTGCGCCACGGAAGGCTCCAATAGCTGGAAAACAGACCGCGACTAGTACCACTCTGATGGCAGAGTTTACGTTTCGCTTGCATCCAAAGTCCTTCAATAATTTATGTGTGAATGTCCTGGTCTACTGGATCAACAAATTCATGCACATGCACAATGACAGCGTGAGCATAAATCCCGTTGTTGAGCTGAGCGACATTTTGAAATCCTCACCAAGCGTCTGTGACGATAGTTGACCCTGGCAACACATGATTAGTGATAATGCGCTCGAGTGTTTGTGCATCTCGACTGCCGACAACCTCCATCCAACATCATCCACTAACGCAAACATGAATTTCAAAACAGAATGAAGCCCAAGACTTTTAAGTAAGGAGTAATCATTGGAAATATTTGGGACCGGACTTCGGAGGATTGCCAAATTTTTCCTAATATAGACTTAGTAAATAATTTTCAAAATTCTGCGATTGAAAAAAAGACAATAATATTAATATTAACAAAAACTAACTTATATTTTGTGGCTTTATTTAGAAGTACTCTTATTTAACTATGTACCCTGTAAATATTATATTTTTGTCACATTTTATAATAAAGTTATAAGTTATAGGCGTTTAAAAAAAAGCAAAAATGGGGGTCACAAAATGTGGAGAAAATCTCATAGTGAAAAAGTGGTTTTGAGGACCCTACTAAAAAATTCAGAACTTTTGAACCGCTTGAGCTAGAAAGTTGATCTTGGTGTATTTGTAATCTATTCTCCAGTCTCTATACAGCGGTAGTGTAGTATTTTTTATATTTTTAAAAATTTTCATGAAAGTACCTACAGGTGATTAACGATTAGTAAGTTAACTAAGTACTTACAATTGCATTTATTTCATTCATATTGTTAGTCCTTTTGACCCATTTGTTTTGTTGTAATGTTAGGTCTAGCCTTACATTCTTTTTTTTAAATTTCGTTCTTGATCCATGACTTTCGACTTCGTTCTGATGCGTAGATTGGCAGTGTTGGAAATCCGGACATTTACATTAATATGAATAAGTCATCTTGAGACTCTTTTGATTGATTACTGGTTGTGACTACGTGAGAGTTGAAAGAGATACGAAATTTTACTGAAAGGGGCTGGACCGGATGCAGAGTGATTTGGTTACTTAAGCCAACTAACGATTTCCCTACTCATCTCATCATGCTTCATCCCTCTTTAAATGACAGTATGCTGGACCGGAGCCGGAAGTATTCAATATTCAAATTTCGGTAAAATATTTGTTCGAAGTGGATGCGTACACCGCGGCGGTGTACCTAGCGAAACCATCGGCTTTGGCCTGCGTAAACCGCGGCGGTGTACCTAGTGAAATCGTGGGCTTTGGCCTGGGTACACCGCGGCAAAAATGTATCAATGGCCTGGTTTTAAGATACGCTTATTAGAGATCTTGTGTGGTCAATTGGTAGAGTGGACGCTTGGAGATAATGTATTTCTAGATCAATTCCCAGTAGGGGAACGAGTTTTTTTTTTCTCCCATTTAAGTTTTAAATATTTTGTAGCAATTTAAATATACGTTTAAATATTATATTAAATACACTTTAATTATTTATTTACATTTAAGTTTTAAAATATTTTGTAGCAATTTAAACAATTTAAATATATGTTTAAATATCATATTAAATACACTTTATATATTTATATATAATATATATAAGTGTTTCAACAAGTTGTGCCGGCCTCTGACTTTGAAAATACCGGTAAATTTAGTAATAAGACTTTAAACATTAGAAAACTAACTTAAAGTTTCTGAAAGCGCATGCATAGTGTATGTAACATGTCATGTGTAAGAGAAACATTATGAATACTAAGTGACTAAGTGATATTCTATTGTATTTCAACATTCTTCGTATAGTTGAATATTTACATTTTACTTTTACGACACCCAAAGAAAATACCAGTATGAATAATATTCATACCATATGAATATTAATGTCATTAATGTGCATGGTCGTATTTCAACCTTGAACCATCTTGCTTTCACTATGCCTTATGCATTGGCAAAATGTACATACGATATCAAAGATTCATTCGCAACACTCAGTCTCATAGCAAATCTTTTGAAAACACCTTGATTTTAGAAACTTGCGGAGCGGTAGCAAACTGTATAGCAAAGCCATAGGTCTGCGTTTACCCTTTTCATGACGGAATTTGTTTCCAGAATGACATGGCATGTGCTATTCTCAGGGTAAAACATGACGTTTTCTCACAGAAACCATTGCACAATGGGCTTGGGACAGGATTTGCGCTATGTCAAAGTTTTTGTATTTGTTGGGTTTTTTTTTTAATTGTTAAGAAATCGATCCTTGCAAGGGGTGGGGGTGGTGATGAGTTATGGGCAGAGGCTTAACCAAAAAGGGGGCATTCACAAATCACGGCTCTGGATAGGGGTTGTCCACAAAGGACGTCCGCACAACAAACTTACCTTTTGCATCCCCCCCCCCTTTCCAGCGGCATTTTTTACTAATGTGTAATGCCAATGTAAAACTAAATCAATGATATTTAATTATTGATAAAAAACTTTTAAAAATCACTGCAGTGTTTCGTATTGATCATCTTACTGCTGTTTTGTGTTGACACACGCTTGGTATCACAATGACAATGCCTCGGACAACTTTAACTTCACGACTTCATGATCAATGTATGAGTATGTGATTCTCTTCCCTTAGTGTATTTGTGGCGTAATTATATCTTTGTGCTAACAAAATAGATTCACTGGCTTCCCATTCATTTTTACACCACGCCCCGAGGATCACATACAATGTTAAATTTATAATGCCCCCCCCCCCCCCCAAAAAAAACCAATTAGCGGGAGAGAATAATTTAAAATTAATGACCCTTTTT